CATGTCACAAAGGCAAATTGCGAAAACTCTGAGTGTTACACAAGGGGGGAACTCTAAAGAATAGACCGAGAAGAAGGCAGAGCCTCAAAGGCAACTTTTCAAGGTACAGGTGTTTGTATCGAAACTATCAGGCTCCAGTTCTGTTAAGGTAGCTGACCATTTAAGTTGGTGTATGGAGCATGAAGATTCGACTATTTAAGATTGATAAAATGTATTATTTTCAGATGAAACCATAACTGGCTCACCAAGAATCAATTATAATTGGTGTAATTAAATTTCGACAAATCCTAACAGGTAGGTATGATTTTATTTTGCCACCTGTAATCAGACTTTGGAGGAGGCTTTGGTTAGTTTTGGTTGGTTGGTTGGTTCTTATTTTCTGAAAAAATAATTTAATTGTTCTAATATATATATTTTTTTAATTGATATCTATTTCTCGAAATTACTGGGTGATTTTATATAAGTATGGCAACGAACAGATTACTTGAAGTAGTCAACAACGAAATTTTCTAAACCTACCACAAAAAGTACTGTTGAAAATGTTTATCAACAAAATTTGGGACCAGATGTTACAGATGGTAAAATGGGGAAAAATAGTATATTTTAATTAGTAGTAGTAGTGCTATAGATTAATTATATATATATATATATATATATATATATATATATATATATATATATATATATATATATATATATATATATATATAAGTATGGCAACGAACAGATTACTTGAAGTAGTCAACAACGAAATTTTCTAAACCTACTACAAAAAATACTGTTGAAAATGTTTATCAACAAAATTTGGGACCAGATGTAACAGATGGTAAAATGGGGAAAAATAGTATATTTTAATTAGTAGTAGTAGTGCTATAGATTAATTATATATATATATATATATATATATATATATATATATATATATATATATATATATATATATATATATATATATATAGCGAGCATTGAAGATGCCAAGTGAGATTTTGGCGAAACGTCTGCAGGATTCCAGTCGGATGCAAGATTTGCAGGATTCCAGTCGGATGCAGGATTCCAGTCGGAGTTCAACGAGTGAACGGATGATATCCCGGAATATAGTGTCATCATATATATATATATATATATATATATATATATATATATATATATATATATATATATATATATATATATATATATATATATATATATATATATATATATATATATATATATATATATATATATTTATTTATTTATTTATTTATTTATTTATTTGTAAGTAAGGTATTTCAAAGTTAATAGTTGATGTGAAATTTTTGGAACTGCTCAAATTAAAATCAGTTTTTGATACAATATATTTGTTTGAACTGCCTGCATTTTGAATGTAGTAAATTCTATCAATCTTATTCTGACAAGAATCCTCCAACATCCAAGTTGTTTTAGTAGTATAATCAGTATAATCCCGTCTTGTGTCTGTTTGAACAGTTTCATTGAGTAAACAATCATTTTACACTAATGTGTATTCTCCAAACTCCATTTTGGAAAACTGATTGTCGCGTTTAAACTTTAGTTATAGCATGTCAAAATTCTTACGCCATTTTCAGCAGTATTTAAAAATAACTTTTTAAAGCGCCTTCTCTTCCTACTTAATAAAGATCGATGTACATATTTTGAAACAAATTGTTTTAATATTCGTAATTGATTAGAGGAGCTGAGGAGATTAGAATCTTCGTTCGACAAACACTTCCACCGGGAGAGAAAGGACGGACGGTCTTATATTTTCTCAGGTGGGAGTGGTGGTTACTGTCTACCTAAAATCTTCTTATTACCTGGCCCAACGAAGCCAGAGTGTAGACCTGTCACGGGGCCCTCAGACAGGTCTGTCCCATTGTGTTCCATTTGATTAATAATTTTGAAACTTTTTAAGTGTAATCGCACTGAATTGTATCATTAGTTGGAGGAAAAAAAGCCTAGTGTATTAAATTGATGATGACGGTGGAATTCTTAATCTGATAAAAAATGTGGTCCCCGGTTTATCTTGTATTTTATTAGACAATTTATATGGATTAAGAACGAGTATTCTGAGCGTTGCCGGGTCGAATCACTACAGTGCGTTATTAATGACCTATACGGTGTATAGCAATCGCAATTAGCATGCCTTGTTTTAAAATTTTGAATTTGTATTCGCTTACGTCAAACGAATAAATTTATTATAAAGCGATACAGTTGCATGATAAATGAAATTACAACAAAATAAAGTTTAAAAACATAACTACATTGAAGTGTAGATTATAAATATCGGTAAAAAATTATAAGAAATTAATTTGAAAATCAGGTATTGGATTTCAATAAAAAATATACAGGATGAGTTAAAAAGTAGATATCGATACCAAGTTCCTTTTTTTTAAATAGAGCGCTACTTTTTAAATCCAAAAACAGAAATTAAATTTTGCAATGAGGAATTAAGGAGCTAGAAAATTTAAATTTTAATTTTTATGGGAGAAAAAACAAGAAGTCAAAAATAAAACTATTGAAATATGTAATTTGTTTAACGCAAAATTTCCACAGAGAAACACACAGTACAAGAGACATAGTGAGTAAAATTGAGAGAAAAATTCTTTCCAAGAACTAATGAGATCACAAGGTTAAACATTTTATTAGAAGTTGAGGATAATCCCCATCGCACATCTTCTGAAGTATCTTCAAATAATTATGCTATTTACGGAACAGCTAAGCTTTATTAAGTATAAAAAACACCCTGTATCGTGAGGTAATGATCGAAATGGAATCTTATAGATCTTTTTGGGTAGAATCAAATTTTTTTCTTTTATTTTTAAATTACAATTACGTCGTTTATAAATTTTCCAAAAAAATATATTATTATCACAAGTATTTTTTAAATCGGCATATCTTTTAATATTTTAGAATTCAATCCTAATTTTATTTCATTTAGCATATTAGTATCATTATTGTTATTTTTATTCTCATAATTAATTATTATTAATTACACATTCAACCAAATTCAAAATGGTAGCTGGTAGCAATCAGTTTTAGCAATTTTTTTTAAGTTGACTATTTTTTATATTAAATTAATATCTTCTGTAATAAAACAATAATCATAATACCAATAATCATTATAATAATGTGTTAAATTTGCATAAAAAATAAATATATTTGTTATAATGTATATTTCATAAATGTATCTAGATAACAATGTAATTTTAAAAACAAAATTAAAAAGCGCAAAATAATAAAAAATATACCTATATATAGAGTGTTCGTTTTAAAATAACCTTTCCTAAAAGATTTCGTTTCCAATATCTCATTAAGCTAGGACACACTGAACATTCATAGTTGCGCACTTAGTTTATTAAACCATTGAGCTAAATCGCATACAAAAAACGTAAATAACGCAGGCTTTTGTCTACGATAACGACAAAGGCACTTTTTTCTGAGCTTTAAAGGTTTTATACAGATGTCATTGACGAGCATTTTTTTATTGGGTATAATTCGAATGATTTAAACGAATTACAGTTGTTTATCTAGATTCAAATTATCGAAGATAATACAGCCATTCGTCTGTCAAATGGGATACTCTTTCGTTAACCCCTATAGCAATATATTAAAAACAACCCTGAACATATTTTTCAAAATATTGCCGTAAAAATTCAAAACAATAGACGGTCTGTCAACGGCCAACCAACAGAGTTCTTTAACAATGCTTTTTTATAAATATCTGCCTTAATTTATAACTGTAAAGATTGTAGTATACAAATAATTCAGAATCGCCTGAAAAGTAGACCACTGACTCTCTAGTGCTAGTGATATATGCAATTTGTTAACTTTTTTTGTACTTATTAGGCCATTAAAACCACTTGATCAAATAAATATGGGCTTTTAGACTAGACAATTCAATTAATGGGGTTCCATCAGTCAATAATATGGATATTAAAGTTTTTTGGTGTGTTCCTTGTTTTTAATGAGTTGTATGTAGGAAAATCATATTCCGAATTAATTCAAATTCCAAAATAGATTTCTCTGTTACCTGAGAAAAAATTTCAGCATATGGCGAACGATCGGAAAAAATAACAGCATCGAATTTTAAATCGCTGTCTTTTAATAAATACAATTTGCTAACAAAAATGCTATTCTGAACAAAAGCAACCATATCACAGATATATGGATAAATAGAGATAAATAAAGTCGGTCTCTTAACAAGTGAACAAGTGAGAAGTGGCCTCAACTAGATGAATCTTCAGACAGTGTTTTGTGACTGTTGTTAAAAGTAATATAAAATTGATAGCTGCACTAACGAAAACCAATGCTTTAACACACTTCCTACCAAGAAGCAAGAAAAGCTTTAATACCAGAAATTAATAACCTTTTCTAGTTTAGAAAACACGTAAACCCCTTCAAAATACCCAAAATAAGATCATTGGATAAAAGAACACAGTTTCGCTTTGCTGCACAAGCCGCTGACTCTAAAGAAACGTTATTTACTTTCTGTGTTTGTCCAGGGGACGTCATATTGAATTTCACTTGACAGGTCGTTGGATTGCCTAATTTGGTGCTATACTATTTGTGGTTGGGATTGTATAAATTTTTATATATAGTTATGCTATTGAAAGGTGGTTTATAAATGCTCTCCACCTTTGCGTGTAATATTTTGTTGTAATAATTTTATTTTTCATGCAATAAGGATTAACTTATTTTATTTTTATTTCGACTATGGTGTGTACAAGGTCTCTCTTTAAAGCAGACCATTAAATTCCGATATTTTGTCACATATAGTTTTAAAATTAGTAAATAACATTGAAAGCTAATTTAATAATAATATTTATTATATATTTTATCTTTGAGAAATTGGAGACTCCTAATATCTCCAAGACAGTTTGACATAAACGACACCCTTCCATCCTTGTTCAAAAATTGAATAATATACTTCATCAATATAACAAATTTCTCCAACGCATTTTGTTACCACTTATCTATCAGATCATAAATAATGTCAGACTTACCGATGATCTCTCAAGTGATCCTGCCGTCTGAACGCCTTCCCGCAGATATCACAGGAATACGGTCTCTCGTCCGTGTGGGTCCTCTCGTGGATCAACAAATTGTAACTCTTGGTGAACTGCCGGTTGCAAAACTTGCAAATAAACTGCTTTTTCGGTCTAGACGCTCTGCCGGGAGCCCGCAACAATCGTCTATCGAGATGGGCGTGCATTTGTGGCGGCCCCGGAGGAAACAAAGCTCCCGATCCGGGGAAAGTAAAGCTGGCCGAATTCGCAGGACTGGTCGGCAGGAATCCGGGATAGGAATGAGGCTGACTTCCATTGGGGGACTCCAGCATCGCACCTGGAGGACCGGGCCGATGAGGAAGCATGAGGGCTGCCGCGTGAGCTGCCGCTGCGGCAACGCATGCCGCTTCCTCGCGAAGATGGAGCTCTTTGCGTTTGTCAGCCATCATTGCCATCAAGTCGAACGATGACGAAGACTTGCGCATCGGAGATGCTGAAAATTCGGTCAACGCAAACATCATAATATTTAATCCACTATACCAAAGATTAAAATAATAAAAAAACACCCTTGATTTACTTTATTTATGCTTAATGGCAATTTTAGTTTGAAGCCGTTTTTTAACATTGGCTAGAAAGAATTGTTGCTTCACTGGGATGTGCTTAGTAGTATTGAAGATAGGCACAGGTGGCTATGAAATTCAAGGTGAAGACACATCCGCAAAATTGGACTAAAGAAACTGTAGCAATAACTGCCAAACTATGACGGTCATTAATCCTTTGCACAATAACAAAATGCATGAAATCCCTAGAACTTCCTCTAGTTACAGTAACAGCGGCATTATCATTGGTCACCATTGGTGCATATTCAGTAGTGGTATAAAAAAGGATACAAAAGTCTTCCACAGGCTACCTTAACACTGTTTACAAATCTTCTGGATTCCTCCGGCATCGGTTATTGTTTCGCCAATTATCCTGTTGACTTCTTCAGTTTCAGTTAAGATCTGAAGAGGGCAACAGGATGATTTAGCTTTCCGATATTGCACTACACTTTCATGACAAAATTTTAGATTTACCTTCACTATTTTTAGCATTCTCTCCGCTTCTTTCACGATTCTCCATCCCTAGAAGTGGATGAATTTCTCCGGGGTACAGCATGGGATGCATGTTTCTAGAGGGGACCACGGGAACGAACGCTGAACTTTCCCGGTGATGGCTCATTGCCGGAGTTAAAGGTACCTGTAATGATAAAATTTCTTAACTAAATAAGTCGTCTAGTATCTAATCTAATAGTCTAGTATCTCAAAGTTCGATTATTCTTTAGATGATACTCGGCATAATCTACGATGCAAACACATGGCGTTGTATATAAGTGTAATTATTACGAAATTATTAATCCTTCATTGTTATGTCAGTTTCCCACACTAGTTTGAACGATCGAGCATAGGTATTTTAGCCTATATGAGACACGCTGTATGTGACGACACAGACTAGACAATAACTTAATATCACTTGCAACTATTCCTAAAGAGCCAAACGGTGAGTAATTTTAAGTAACTTTTGGAAAGGGTTATCAGGAGAAACTCAAATACATCAAGAATGATCGTACCCAGCACCTCATTCAAAAGAAGCTATGGAGAAGAGGAATCAACTAAAGAAAAAAAAGTGCTAGGAATACCATATGCTAGAGGATTATTGGAAAATCTCCAACGTAAGACCCGTTAAAAGAAGAACTCAGATCCACTGCGCATTCTCTCTAAGCAGAAAAACATCAAAAACTTAAGAAGTACAGGAATAATGTATAAAACACGGACGAAGGACCGAATCATCTGGTCAAAGGCAACAATAGTTCGGGAAATAAAGACACCTTCAGCAGTGAATCAGTTCAGTTAAGCAGACTAGATACCACTAGTTACAGGAAATAAGGACCACCAACCAAGACGTCACGCACCAGCAACTAGAAGCCACACGCTATCGACCACCAGTTACAACACACAATAACGCGTTTTACCACAAACCGAAACTCAATTTTACGTACACGACGCGCGTTTCGCCAACCAAGTTGGCATCTTCAGGAGAAGATTTGAACTGTTTTAATCTTCTCCTGAAGATGCCAATTTGGTTGGCGAAACGCGCTTTTGGAACTGTTTTAGAAACTAGGTAGGAATTATTTCGTTTTAATGTACTCATCCAATGATGTCTCAATAGACCTTGAAAAGCGTTTGACAACATGCGCCATGATAGAATGATGAAGGAAACAATATAAATGCAGACAATACCATACAATAACTGGCACGAACAATGAAGCAGATCTACAAAATCTAATGAATAAGATCAATTGCAACTAAATTCAATTTGGGTTAAAATTCAATTCGACAAAATAAAACATATGGTTATCGACAACAACTAATATTCTAGAAATTGGTATCATGGTGGCACACATCTGAAAACGGTGCAACTTTGTATCAGAATAAAAAAAAAAGCCGGTGTCGTCTTTATCAAAATGAGAAAAGTGCTAACCAGTCACGACCTAACTTTAAAATTGAGAATGAAAATGCGGCTATGCGTTTTCAGTCCTTTTGAATAGCATCGAGTATTGGAGACTCGCAGAAGTAATGCTTAAAAACCTCGATTGCTAAAGATCAGTGGGGGGACAGTCACACAACAACAATAGAGATTCCGATCGCATAATAAAAGAGCTAGAAATAGTTTAAACGGTCCATCAGAGAAAATTAAACTATTATTTATTATTGTTATTATTATCACCAGGAAAAATATGAATTGCTAAGCATTTTTATAGAGAGACAATACTGGAGAATGGTATGTCAACTCTACAGTTAAACCTTCCCGCTATCAACAAGACAATTATCGTCAAAATGGTAGCCAACATGATAACCAAAGATCGTTGAACAGTCGTGGTACCGGAGTAAAAAAGAAAAACCTTTATCTAAAGACATGAGAAGTTATAAAATTAGTCTTATAATGCGGGTCGAAACATTAAATCCTAAAAATTTTTCTGTAGGATACATAAATATAAATACTATCACAAAACGAATTTTATATTTTGTTTATCAAATACCAGAGATTTATCGGAAAATTGGCAAAATTATTTCCGTGAACTAACCTTCACTGTACTCATTGCGGCATCATTGTCGGCAAAAAGTGCAACTTATTAAGTCGTGAACGTTTAAGGTCGACTTCAACCTTCAGGTTTTCGGTTGAAAACCCATTTCGATTCGTTTGAGGCAGCGTATTTTATTATCATTCCATGCAGATCCAAAAACGTCACGCAGAGTTACGTGCAGGTTTCTTCTGTGCCGCTAACTGTACATTTATTACCATTCCCAAGATTTTATTACCATTAAAACAGTTTGTTTATACTGTAAATTAACGCGACATCGCATCGAACTTCTTTACGAATTTAATGGGTACATTTATTTTAGTTTTTATTCCGCCACGTCCTTATTAATTATATGGTTTCTCTATATCGCCATATAAAATGGCTAATAAGTTGTAATGAATAAAGAAGCGTTATTAATTAAAAATGATGCAGTTTAAACTAGTTTGGTGATAAAATAATAAACAGAAAAGTATTTCAAAAGAATAATGTGAAAAAAATTAAAGTTATCCTGTTAAAATTTCTATAATATATATGTTTTGACATTTTTAGTAGACATAAACAATATTCAACTTTCGTCTCGATATTTTATTTTCTACCATTTTTATGGACGATACTGGAAGTAGGGTGGAAAATATCAGGTGTAAACGTCTAGAGTTTTAGGTCACATTAGTAAGAAGAAAACTAATTATAAATTTCAGTGCGTTATCGAAAAAGCAAAATTTATTTTTCAAAGAAATTTCTACAGGCTACTGTAATACTATTTACAAATCATCTGGATTCCTCCTGGCTCAGTTTTTGATGAACCGAAATTGCTAAAGTTTCAGAGCTTAACTGAAACGGTTCCAATTAAGCTCTAAACATAAAAACAAAATGGTATACATAGATACATGGTACGGAAGATATCTGAATTATAATTCATTAAAAAGTAAAATTAGAGTTAAAAAGAAGTCAGATATCCAATACCCTGTTTAAATTGCCCCATAAAATTTAGATTACAATAACAAGCCAACTGTAAAATCGTATTAATGGACATAAATATACTAAACAGGCATCAATTGCTGTACATAAACATGAAAATTTAACAAACCATGAATTTAATTTTAAAGAAACTAAAATTTTAGGCTAAGATAATAATCATCAAAAATTTGCAACAAAAGAAATGATTCGTATTAAAAAACAAATACATACTATAAGTGATCGCAAGGATATTAGTTACTTAAGTCAATATCCTACTCAAAATTAAAAGTCAAATTCACTTCTCTATAATAACATATTTTTTTAAATGTAAACAATTATTGCTATTACTGAACAACCTCAACTCAAGAACTCATATATATATTTCAAGGTTGCAGAGTAAAAAGCCACCACCTGCAGTAACGCCCCTGTCACATTACTTTCATTTGCCAAACTCGTCTTTCTATTGTATGCAAATTAGTGTGACCCTAATTTAGGAACCATTCGAGGTGTGTAGATCTTAAAAACAGAAATACGTAAAGCAATCATCTCAATTTATCTGAATTTTACTATATAACTTTGAAGATTTTTGCTCAGCAACACTGATTTTTTTACTCGCTCGTAACTGTTTGTTTCACCTTTTTTCTCTTCTCTGTGCGTTAATTATATTTCCAAGGTGCACCTAACAATTTTAACTCAACATTTGTTAATACGAACGCGCCAACTTTCTTTTACACATTCGTACCCATTCTGCAATCTCATCTGCATCTTCAAATTTAACCCTCTCAAATATCAATTAACCGCTAAATCATAGTCTAGTTGACAGTTTTGATATTTTTTTGAATAGTCAACAGTCGCAAATTTTTATGCAAACTTTTTAGCTGCTCTGGAAAATGCGGAAAATCGGTAAATAAATCTAATTGACATTCCTATTAACCCAATACTTGAAGAATCTTTGGAGAAAGGAGAAGATTAGAGTATCGACATATAACATTCATAGCAATCCTTTTGAAATTACTAACGAGGAATTTATTAATAGGGGTCACCAGAAAGTAAATAGCTTAAATACAGCCATTTATGCAAGAAGGTAAATAAAAAAAGGCGAAAATACAATCATGACACTATTTAATAACTTTCTAGGTCTTCAGCAGGCGAACATTTAAATTTAGCAATTAGTCAACCTGCAGCAAGCAGAATTATCAAAGAAGTAAATGTTTGCAATGCAATTCAAATGATATTATTTTTCTCTTAAACTCCTTTTGCGCCTGTGCCGCTGCTAGGATGTGGGTTATCTATGGCATCGGAAGTTGCATTATTTTCAATTCGTTCTAGTGAAAAGAATAAGATTTTACATATCCATACAGATTCTGATCGTCACAAGAGAGTGCAAGGGTTGTTTCATAAGTATAATCTAACTCGGTTAATTAATTAAGCGATTTTGATTTTGTATGAAAAGGTGATATTAAAGTACAAAAAATCCAACCTCCAATAATACTTAGACCTACTGCGATTATAGTAATTTTAAGTATGACAATTTTATTAATTATTCGTATAGCAATCCCTGGCATATTTCCTCCATGGAATCTGTCGACCAAATGGTTAATTTTTATGCTAAGTTTACTGGGAACACACACTTTGCGTCACAAATAATATCAAATTCATAATGCGCGTTCGTCACAAAGGTTTAACTAAATGTCAGCACGCAAAAACCGAACAAAATTTGACCTTCTACAAACAGTATTCTATTGTGTCTCTTATTTGTGACGAAAAAAAGGCGCCTTCTAGGTATTAGTGACACTTTTGCCAACAGTGTGCCTCTCAAAAGCGGTTGAACAGGCCAATCAGTGTTATAGTTTCAACAAAATTTGCGATGTAATATCCAAACTGTCAGTCACCAAAGAGGAGGGGGAGAAATAGAAAGAAATATAATCTAATGCTATCGGTCCGGATCACATCTCACTCAAGATGATAACTTATGTTGTTCCGCATCTAACTGCTCACGACTACTGAGGTAATTTCGCTCTGTGTGGAAAAATGCTTATGTGGTACCGGTTTCCAAAAATAATAACCCCTCTAAGCTCGCAACACTTTCGGCCTATTAATAATATTAATAAATAATAAATAATAAATTGGATTTTTCAGCAATATAGCTCACACTTTTTTTACGGCACATACTGCGGACTTAGGTAATTGTCCAAGATGAGATCACATCTCTCTTGCATTTCAATGTTTTTCAGATTCATATTGATAACAATCTGAACACGTAAAGGTTTAAGGGTTAGTAGCGGCGTTCCATGGATGAACTTGAACTTTGAGAACTGTATCGAACTGTGCTTAATACAAACAGATATATTTTGCATAAGGAACTAAAATCATCTTTAGATCTTGCAATCACCGAGTACAAATTACTGCTCAACGCTAAATCACATTTAGGCTACACAATGTACAAATTAATTAAATTTAACAACTATCTAAGCTATGAGGTAGCTGGCTGTAGCTGTAATTTAAAATATACTAAAATGTAACATAAACGTTCATAAGTATTCTTAGCAACATACAGATTTAAAATCTTAATTTGTTAAACTTGCTATTATTTTTTATGCTTAAAAATAGTGAAAACCCTCGTGAAGCAAATATACAAGTAAAATGATTACGCAATGTGGATTAAGACAGGAAACAATATAAGCGATTTATCTATAGAAAACATATCTTGTTATGCATCCATAAACGTTTTCCAAATATATTTTTTTCTTTTTGAGTTCCATTGGCAGTAAATTGTAAATGCGTTGACCTACAAAGCTAACAATACGGGGCTGAGAGACTTGATCCCTGGTTATTACACTCTCAGAAGTAATAGCGCAAAGTTGTAATATGCTTAATGTTCTCCTTGTATTTATTGGATTGTTTCATATACCTAATAATACTACTTACATAAATTTTCTGAACCGTTAGAAATTTCGATTCTATAAATAATAATTCAGTCGATTTCCGTTTCGGTTTTTTATAAAAAAAAATTATCATACACTTCTGCAAGATTTCAATGTTGTTAATTAATAAATAAGAGTATTTGTAAATCGTTTTCCTAATCTTTTAAATCGTGCCAGTATTGAAATTAACAAAGTCATATTTTAAATTTGTTCTTGTTTGGTTGGTAAATTTTTCTAGTCAGGCAATCATATGTATAAAATTTTAAGCTGAGCTTCTATCAAAGTTTTTAAGAGAAAATATCATTTAATGTTAAAACCTAACAATGGATAAATATAGTTCCGACAGCTCATGAAGTTCTTTTCATGAGTATTTTACTTTGGTTAATATAACACTCTCATCAGCAGAGCATAAACACAGTCATTAGGAGGTAATTCGTCCATTGGGTCATTCAGGTGTCCACTACACCCACTTTACTCAATTCACTATTTATTTTTACCTGTTGTACTCCTTTTTTAAATAGGATTTTAGTAAATCGTGCGCTTTGATAGAGTTAACTTGCTAAATCCTTAAGATTTTTATTTATAAGCTCAATAACACTCCGTACTGCATTCGGCAAAAGATATGTAATACATATTTCCTGCTTAACGCATAAAATTAATCGTTAATATTTGTTTTGGAAACTGATTAAACTTTCACACAAAAATGCTAGACATGAATTCAATTCCTAGGCATTAAGTGCACTTTTTCAGTGTTCATTTACCTACAATTGTGTAACAATTTATAACTCTCTCCCTCGGTTAAAACTACTCTTCAGATTAAAGCTACAGTATAAATGGCTTAAGTTTTTGTTACGTACTTGTGAGCTGTGTAGTCATTTTTTGTTCTCACTTAACTGTAAAACATATATAGACTGCTAATTAGAGTAGCAAAAAACTGCATTTTTGCAATAAAAATTTACCTACAATGCTGTAATCGTTTAAGTTTTTGCTACATACTTATGCATTGCATATCATTTTTTGTTATCACTTAACTATATTGTGCTGTTACATATTTTGCTCGGATCTAACATATATACCACCTACTTGCTTTTATCTAAAAATAAATAAATATGAATTAAATAAAGAAATTATTTATTTATTCCGTTATTTATTTATAATGCTGTCGTTTTAAGTCTCAACAATATTGATATTTAACCATGATCTAACAATGTAAAAATATAATAATGATTATAATAATTATTAATATTATTTTTAGTTATGAAAACATAATTCAAGAATGGCTAACTTACTTGATGATGGTAGGGGATCTGACCTTCGAATCGGCTCCCAGAGGAAGATCTATTGGAACTTCCCGGAGATGGCAAAGGGAAATCGCGGCGTGAGAGCGCCAGAGGGCGCTCATCTGAAGCAGTGCTGGTGGCTGTTTCGGGCATCGCGCCCTGAAAGAAAAGTCATATGATTTACAAAATGCGTGACGAGCTTCGTTCACTTCGAAAGCGTCCGACAAGAAAATATTTACGATGTTAAGTGAGTTATACAACGAGCAAATAAGCGGGTCAGGTAAAAGAAAAACGATTTTACCCAATTTATTTGCTTTGTTACTCGTGTTTGCTTGTCTATTACAGGGACCATGTTTGGCTTTCTCGGAATCTTTGAAATACCCATCCGAATATTTACCCAAAGACTTATTTTTACCATAAAACGTATATGAACGCGACTGTGTCCATTTTTCAAGTTTAAACAGTTACTTAACTTTAAGGCACAAAAATTTTCGGTTAAATGCTTTGCTTTTCGGTACCTGAGCCCATAGAAAATTTTTCCAATTGGATGAATATTGCAAGGCAAAACGACGCGAACATATCTAGGTCAAACTGCCTATGAGTCGCAAACTCACGTCGAATATTAAATTTAGAGAAAAAATCAACACTAAAAGAACTATCGAGCAACGTTGTTGCTTGGCGAGAAATAAACCCGGTAATAATTGTAAGATATTATAACAAGCGTAAATCTATTTTGCTGGTCATTTGTTTCATAAAGGTCAACAAACGAGCTTGAGGTTCGTTGTCTGATCTCGTATCGAAGTCTACAGATAATAAGAGTTATTCGCCAAGAATTTCTTCGGTGTAACCGTAAACAAACGTTTTCCTTACATTCTGTTGGTTTTGAACGTTTGGGAAACGGTTTAACGTTAATCTTAATGTAGCGATTAGAAGCAATGCTTTTAATGTATACAGAATATACCCTCTTGGCTCAGAAACTAAGGACTATAGAAAAAAAAGTTGAATATAAAAGTTGCCTAGTTTTATCTAGATTTGTCAAATTTTAATTTTCCATAAATACAGGGTGTTCCACTCATCTTTGGTAAATACCAGCTTGCCTATTTTAAATAGAACAAACACCAAATATTCGATTTTTGGATTCTCCGGGAATTTGTAAGTCCAAGTCTAACCTTCTTCGACAAATTTGCGGCTCCTAAAAAAAATGCATTTTTTCTATAAGGCAGTCTTAATTATTTAATTTTGGATGGATTCCTATTGTCATCTATTGAGTGTATATTTTGAAAGTAAATTAATATAGGGTATGCAAACATGAAGTACAAGCACCTTATATGTCATTGCTCAATTTATATGTCATTTGAGGTTTTTTCTTTGTTTGTTGTCGTTTGTTGTTGGCTTTTAACGTAGTTTCAACGTAAAAAACATACAAGAAAAGATTGTTTTCTATCTACAAGAAAAACCAATAGGCCTGCATCAAATTACCATTTTGTAAGGAACTGTTTTTCATTATCTTTAAAACTTTGTTTTTTAAATTTGAGTCTCACATTGAAATTTCGGAAACGGTAGGCACAAAATGGAAGTCAAAATATTAAAATGAACTTAAAACTAACTCCAAATATGTCCGTTATTTCCTTCATTAAATAATTAGAATTTCAATAAATACATTTTTAATTTTCTGTTTAATTACTTACACTGATATGTGACGGTTTATGGCAGACTCTGTATTTTAGTTTTAATTTTTAAATGGTTCTATCAAATGTTACCTAAGAATAATACCTTTTCCACCTCTCTACTTTAAGACGTTAATAGTTAATACTGGCGGTATTTTGACGTTTGCCAGTTCTTATCATCGCACGTCACTGAGTATATTTGTCTGTGCTGCATAATATCGCTGTGAATCTCAGTGAAGTTAAGCGAAAATAAAATAATTTACATACAAACGCAAACGCAGCATCCTTAGCCACAGTTTTAAGATAAGATATAAAGAGTGTTCTTCAAATTTTACAGAATTCTATGTCACCGAAATCGTTAATTTTATTTCCAATGATGAGCCGTTAATATTGACATTTGAATGCCAATGCCAATATACCAAAATTATCAATTTTTTCTAAAAACCAATTTTTTTAGTATATGGCGATAATATTGACTGCAAGAGTAGTTTCATAAATAAGAAAACACCTTTACCTCCACCTCTTTAATTATTTTACTAGAAAACTGTGCATCGTGCCACAAAAACAACAGATTCAGGTCAAGACAAATTGAATAGGAATTTCTAAAATAATTTATATTTTCCAAACAATCAGCAGGTCAGGTTAGAAGAAGTAAATTTTGAAGTCTTGACATAGGTTTTTTTCCAATAATGTTATTGACGGTAATGTTACTAGAAAAACAACTGACAGAGAGACAGCACTCTCTCTGTCTCGCTCAAAAGTAATGATGAGTAAAAATATTGAGAGCAAAAGAGATAAACCTAATTATCGTAACAAACGACATTGACACAAAGTACAGAAGAAAATTAAGGGTAGAATATGTCACCGCAAAAGGTATAAATATAAACACGGGAATTAGACAGGGCGATTCACTCAATCTCGTTATGTTTAATACAATAGCGAGTAGAATAATAGAAACTCTTCCCAGAACCGTCTTTATTATGTCCTTATTAGAGAGTAACCAAAAAGTACTGCATTTTTTAATTCTTTTGCAAAAAAAAGTAAATATGCACAACATCCAATAACCAATAAGATGGAAGCTGAAAAATGGTCAAAATGCAATTTTAAGATATATGGCATCCTCCAGGTCCCAATTTCAGGATTTTATCCTAATTTTTTAAAATTTATGTTTTTAGACATTTAATACAGGCATTTTAAAAGCCAACATGTACGATGTTAAGACAAGAACAGATACAAACAAAACACTACAAATGATGAGAACAGTCTAAATAAAAGAATCGAGACGTATAAGAAGGTCGGTGAAGTAGAGACGAATATTCTGCAACAAACATAACAAGAGGCTGGAAGGCCGTAGACTAGTTAAAAACACAAAAATGAATAACTCAGTAGGAAAAATACCACCTACACAATTAAAATCCTACTAACATTTAGTACCCTACTAATCAGCCAATCCATGTTGGAAAGAAAAAGTAGAAAACGAGTTGCTGTTGTTAGCTTGCCAGCTGAAATAAAAAAAAATCCATTAGTGCTAGGTCATTTATTCCAACTTATTCTTCAGTATTTGAACCGCCTGCTTACCAGACTACTTCTTTCCTTACTGAGGGTCATAGTTTTATGCACATTTTTCGTAATAAACGCTTTCTATCAACTGCTACTATCCTACTCTTAAAAAATTTTCTAGTAAAAGAGACTTGAGTTTTATACTGCTTCTGAGAATGGAATGTGTTTTCCATCCTTGTTTATGGAGACATGGACGGACGCTAGAGCAGGTTTGAATCAATTAACTGTACGCGTTTCAGCTGTGGTTTTACAGGACTGTGAAGATATCGCGCACAGATAGGGTCTTAAATGTTGAGGTTTTCTGAGGATGGAACTGTGAGAAGAAGAGGATCAACTGCTAGACTAGTGACGAAAAGCATGATCGAGCTTGTATAGAGACGTTTCTGAAAAAGGTAGATGTCACCACCAGATGCAAATCAATAAACTGTACGCGTTTGAGCTGTGTTGTTACAGAAGAACTGTGAAGATATCGCCGACAGAGAGGGTCTAAAATGTTGATGTTTGCAAAGGATGGAACTGCGAGAGGAAGAGAATCCACTGCTAGACTAGTGACGAAAAACATGGTCGAGCTCATATAGAGCCGTTTCGGAAAAACGTAGATGTCGCCACCACTAATGGAAACGGAAACCATAAAATTCTGAGCTGCCATTCACCCTACATAAATGCTTAATTTTATGAGAAATTTATATAGCCCGAAGTCGTTCAAAAAATATTCAAAATTCATTGAATTTATTAGAACGGTTCGTAACTAGGCGGTTCAATATCTGATTAACGCAGCCCCGTCGATTTTTATAAGCCATAATGCGAACCATAACGTTGTAGCTGTACCGCATTAACTATAATATCGGATAAACGTAATTAGACTTTATGCATCGTATGAATTTTAATGAAAATAAATGTTACGTTGAGTGTGGCGTAATTGCGGAGAAACTTGAAAAATGTGTAATAACAGTTCGGCTTTTTCGACAGAATATCGCCGGCAAAACGACGATAAACTCGCCCATGAGGATATATAATCATTATGCGCTCTCATTACTTGTTTAATCGAGATTAAAAATTATGCGGCCGCTGCGGAATTAATGTGTACTTACAAAAAACTAAATTTATTCATTGGATGCGGAGGAAGCATACAAGCCTCGATTTATTATTTTTATCGCCTCTACGTTTTTACAATGGCCTTAGCTTGTAAAATGGGAACAGAACAAATAGGAAAATGTGTAAAAATGTCTTCAAAAGTTGGAAGGCGTTACGCCGGGAAAATTGTGTTAGATTTCACAAAAAATACAAATCAATCACAATCAATCTCATAACAAAATGTATTAATTAATTATGAAAAATATGATATGCTGGTAAGCTTTATAAAGATTAATAAAAACTCGGAAGAAGCATCGTAATATTTCCAAACATACGTAGCTATTATGGCTTAAAAGTGATTATAGCTTTATAAGTTTGTGTTTATTAGGTATACAGAAATCAACAAATGTTTTTGTATTTTCAGCAGAATGTGTGAAAATTAAAAAAATGTATTTTAAAATTTTCTATCATTTCGCAAGCCGAACCTGCTTTTTCGGTGTCGTGTGAAGTATAATTTCACAATGTAAAAGTACAAAATTCATGTTTTTAAATTAATAATTTATAACATTTTTGTCATTTTCACAAAACAAATTACAAGTTAGTGTTTACTACCAGCATACTAATTAACTATTATTATAAAGCCATTGTTATCACTGTGTACGAAGTATTTGTGTGAGCGGTAGCTTAATATATTTTCTAAAATGTTCCACTCTCCTTTTACGATATGTTGTTTATATACAAACATTACGGGTGCATTTTGACGGATTTATGCAGGAGTTTTTTTGAAGATTCATAGATTACATAAAAATAAACAAACCAAAAATATTAAAATAGATGAATCTGAATTTTCCTGTAATC